ATTATTTATAAGACTTTTAATTAAGTAGAAAAATAAATAAATGTTATATTATTATTATTATTATAAGGAAAATATAAATTATAAGATGAAAATCACGTTCTAGATATAATTAATAGGTACAAAATCAGATATTTTGATTAAGAGTTAAAATAAGGTGTAAATGCGATTATTTACCACCATTTTGCATTAATTGCACCATTTGATATTATTATAAATAGCATTTCAAGCAAGAACAAAAAGCAAGAAATCTAAACATGGTTATGAAGCTTCCTCTTTTCATATGTTTCATCGTCACATTCACTTTCTCATGTTCATCGGAAACCACCTTCTCCGGCAACATAAAGTGGTGGTGCGGCCAAACTCCACACTATCAGACATGTGATTACTATCTCAGCCACCGTAACTTCTCCACCATTGCCTCTTTATCAACTACCGAGTTCCTAGAGATGTCTGTGCAAGTAGCCATAGATGAAGCACTCGTGGTTCGGAAACGAGCCCATGAGATCGAGTCCAAGTACCCAAATGTTCCAGGAAAAGGCTTATGGTCGAGTTGTGTTGACTACTTTGATGCGATCGTGTTCACACTTAACTCAGTCTTTGATCGTAACCTTGACCCGTTGCCACTCGATATCCAAACATGGATCAGTGCTGCCTTTGCCTATATCAATGCATGCGAAGAAGGGTTCGAGTTGATCAATATGACCAACACCATTCTACCCGCTATTTCTAGCAATTTGACAGAACTAATACTCAACTCTTTGGCTATTAGTGTTGTATATAGGGGTCGTAACACTCCTGGGTTCGTAGATTGGAATTATCCAAACGAATATAAGTTGTCGAACAATTTGGCATCAAACGGGCCAAATGTGGTGGTGGCTCAAGATGGCTCGGGAGATTTTACGACGGTTCAAGCCGCTGTAAACGCTGCTGCGAATAGAGCACAACCCATGAAGAGGTTTGTGATTTATGTGAAGGCCGGGACATACACAGAAAACGTTGTGATTCCAGATGAAGTTGGGTATATTACGATGTATGGAGACGGAATAGGTAAAACGATCATCACCGGTTCCAGGCATGCAGGTGGTGACGCCCTAAAAACAACAATGGCTGGTGACTTGAAAAGTACAGCAACAATTCGTAAGTTCATGTTCCAAATTTTTTTCAATTCTTAATGTTGTTTAATGTTACATTTGATTTTAAATATGATTTACACGGAATGTAGAGGTATGGGGCCGCGAATTCATCGCTCGAGACATGACGTTCCGGAACACGGCCGGGCCATACGCAGGGCAAGCGTTGGCATTCTTCTCCGTCTCCGACCAATCAGTCCTCTACCACTGCAGCTTCGAGGGGTACCAAGACACACTCTACGCGTGTGGAAATAAACAATTCTACAAAGAATGCCAGATCTACGGAACCGTAGATTTCATTTTCGGCGATGCTGCAGCCGTTTTCCAAGATTGCGGGATCTTCCTTCGGAGACCACGTCCAGGAGGTGGCTTAGTGGTGACGGCTAATGGTCGAAAGTCCCATAACGAGTCCTCCGGGTATTCATTGCAAGGCTGTAAAATAACTGCGGGTGATGATCTTAAGCCCGTGATCGGTCAGTACAAGAAGGCGTTCCTGGGACGACCATGGGGTGCGTACGCGAAGACCGTTTTTATGGAGAATTACCTTGATGACTTGATCGATCCACAAGGGTGGATGGATAGTTGGGGTAACAAGGACACTTGTTATTGTGGTGAGTACAAGAATTATGGACCCGGATCGTCTACGGCTAATCGGGTCAAATGGCGTAGTTTCCATAAAATTACGAACCAGAAGAGCGCACGTCGATTTACAGTTGGCAAGTTGTTGTCAGGGAACCATTGGCTTCCTAAAACTGGGGTGCCTTATATAGCTGGTTTTGAGAACTAAGTAACACAAAAATTAAATACTTGTTTGTAATAGAAATTTAATTAGAGATATAATAAAATGAATGCAAATTGCGAGTAAAGTTCAAATGTAAACTCAATTTTCATTGTAAACGTGAGGATTAAGTTTGAATTTTTATTTTATTTGATGCAACAACCCGTATTAAATATAGTTTTTGATTAAAATTATTAATTAAAATGATAAGAGTAAAAAAAGTATTAATTTCAATCTATGTCTACTTTTTTTTTTTACTTTTCATTTTCTTTTTTAGTTAAA